AACAAATCACCACCACCACCTCCACCAAAAGTATCGCCACCACCACCTCCACCTCCATCTCCAAAAAGCAAACCACTACCACCACCACTTCTTCCAACTAATAAATCACCACCACAACCTCCTCCGCCAAAGACGTCGCTGCCACCGCCACCTCCTCTGCCTCCACCGCCACGCACCATATCTCCTCCGCCTCCTCGAAATTCACGTCCACCACCTGTTATAGGATGATCTCCCCCGCCGGGACCTACTAGAAGATCTCCTCCACCGCCTTCACTTATATTGGACAGGTTTTTAGGTTTCTTTTGTGATAATGAGTTACCTGTAACAATCACTATAAAGCTCGTTTGATATAAACAAAGTTTGAGAAATTATTTACGTATGAGCATTGATCATTTCAGGACTGAAACAGGATGCATGTAATCCTATATTATCGTACGATCTTTTCTTAATGTTGAATAAGGTTTATTTTCTTCCTGGAATAAGCAACTTTGATTTTCCCCTCCAATTCTATGCAATTGAAATTTTTTTGTTTTTTTTTTCCGGTTCCTAATACAACAAAATTATCTATCAAATATTTTGATTTAGCCCTCCGCTGTTTTCTACGACTCTATCTTACATCTCACTTTTAGCCCGTGTTTTTAAAATAAAAGATATCACGTTTTGACCTTCCATATTCAATATATGCACCAAGATATTCATCATGAATGAAACCCCATGAACATACAAGATTTCGGAATATGTATTCACTGACTAACAAAGACTTATTTTATTTATTTATTTATTGTAAAGATCACGAATCTATTGCTCTCGAACACCTTACAAATATATAATCGTGTCATGCATGTACATCAAGTGTGATTTCCTTGGTGCATTTCTTACTATTTAGAGACGTATTTTCTCTCTACGATTAAGATCTTAGAGAAAGATTGTCGACAACGTGGAGCCATATGACGCACCACTGAAAATTTTCACCGTTGTTTTCTGTTTTTTTTTTTTTTTATTTTTTTTTTACCTTTCTTCTTTACTAAAATTGCTTCCATGAAACTTTGACAGGAGACATCATCATTACAGCAACTAATAATAAAATTGTGTAACATGTGATCATTACTCAATTATCGACAGTTAATATATCATTGACAGAACCTTTTCGAGGAGGAATTTTTCAAATTCATCGTTTTCAGTCATCAAATTAGTTCCCCTTCTTTCTGCCTTGATGTTGTATCTCTTCGGTGCAATGAAAAAATAGTATATGTGTTCCTTCCGTCTCAAAATAATTATTTACTTTACACTAAAAATAAAAATTTAAATTTAAACAATTATTTTGGACAGAAAAATATATTATTTAATTATTTTATAATAGTTATTATATTTTGATTCTTGAAATTTTTTTTTTCATCGATCGGAGTTTTAAAACTCCTTTTTGAAAAATAGAGTCCTATCACACACGCACTCACGCACGCACGCGCACACACACATTATCAGACGCGGCTTTAGGGAGAGGCTACTAAAAATAGAGCTTTAGGTCTCATATCATTTAGGTTCTCATTTTTTAAGATATTATTTATTATAATTATTTTTTGAGATTGTTTTATAATAATAATCGTTGAAAAATAATAGAATAAATTATACTACGTAAACATTTTGACATGCAAGGTACGTAGGATTTTAGTTATCTGATAAAATTATTCATATCGAAATTATTAAAGTATTTTAATAAAATTTTTTCCTATCGTCGAAATCTGATTATTGGAGGTCCCGAATTTAAATTTCGCTTGAGGCCTCAACATCCATTGAACCAGCTCTGATATATATGTCGGACAAAAGAGAGTGAAGCCTTATAGTTAAATCAACATTCTAATTGCGAAAAAGCTATTCCAATTTCAAACAAGAAAAACGGAAACAAGAACATTGTGCTTGTATCTTTGGGGGAACGCATTTTAGATATTAACTTGTAATAGTATTTTAGACTGATTCGAGTATTAAAAGAAATTGGCTAGATTCAAGAACAGAGTGCGAAATGGATTTCAACTGAATAAATGATTGCAACGAAGCATGGCGGCATCAATATGAAGTACAATTTCTTGGAAGAAAGGTACGTAATGCAAAGGTGCAATTGCTAAAGTCGTTATTTATATTACTCTTTCCGTTAAAAAATAAAATAAAATAAATCAGTTTTTTTGTTATAAATACTATTTTATTCAGATTTTTTTTGGGCGGGAACGGACGAGTGTTTGTATTGTGTGGAGGTGAAGCATCAGGTCTTTGAAGGTAACACACAAGCTAGTACTATAACAATGGTAAAAAAGATTAATACTCAACATGTAGTTTGAAGTGTTAAAATCCCTCTTTCCCCTGTAGCAAGTACAAACCTCTTGTACAGAATTTCGTTGTCGTGGATTAATAATTTACCTTTCAACCCAAAAATAAAAAAATAAAATTTTATAATAGTTTTATATTTAATGTGATAATTATATTTGCTTCGAGGCCTTGCGAGAAAAAATGATTTATCACTCGTTAAATTAATATTTATCTGGATTATATATTCGAAAATTCTTTCCTCCACTTTATCATTTATTTGGATTATCTATTCGAACCTTTTCTTTGCCACCTTATTTTGGTACCGCTTGCGTTATTGAGTGAGGATGACTTGAGAATGAATTCTTTTAGCTAGAAATGGATATTTCAACCTAAATTCGATCAAACATAAAAAGAAAAAAAAATCAACTGCAAAATCTTATTATAAATGAAAAGAAAAAAAGCAGTATTTCCAAAATCTCACAACAAAAATGATCATAGAATATACTCCTAATCAAGCAAATGAAAGATTGGGATAAATGAAATCCAAAAAAGGAGCCTAGTCATACACAAAAGCTAACTGCGATCGGCCATAACTATTGGGCTCAAGTTTTAGTTGGAGTTACTTAGTGGGCTTCCCTAAAGAACAAAAGCGTACTGTTCAGGTTTTTTTTAATTTTCTTTTTTTTTCTTTTAATTATCAAGATTTTCCACCAATTTCTGTTCAAAACTCAAAAGGAATCCTAGTGATTTGGTAACTAGTTCTTAAATTCCTTACTTAACTGTACATTACTACTGTTAAATTATAGAGCTTAAAGTTTCCCTTAGTAATGTGGGTGGATAGTTGAGGAAGTAAGAGTACGAGATGGAAATTCATATTTCATCATAAGCAACCCAATAAACCAAAATAAAAATAATAATAAAATCCATAACTACGAACTTTTTATTGGTCTTTTACTGAGGCTCCATTTGGTTAGATTGAATTGTAATTCAATTTAAACTACAATACTATTAAATTGAAAATGAGATATTGAGATTGTGATTCAATCTTAATTCCTTTGTTTAGGAGATCTTGATAATTGGCTAGAATTAAGGTTCTAATACCAATTCTTACGTTTGGATGCATAAAATTTTAGATATTTTAGAATTGTAATTATTTTCTTATTATTTAACTAATACAATTTAATTCATTTCTAAAAATCGAAAAATAACTTTAGTTTCTTATTGATATGATAATTGATATTCTCACTCAATACACAACAAATAATAAGTAAAACGTTCTTGTTTCTCTCTCGTTTATAAGATTTGAACATTTTTAATTTCTAATCTTTGGAATTTTTTTTAGTATCTTTTAATGAAAAAAATTAATATTTAATATAAAAATAAGTTTATGTATGTTAGTATTCTTTTATATATAGATATACGCTAAATTTCATATTTTTTATTACATAAATCTATTAATGTGAAAGTAAAATTCCCACTCATTAAGTCCAGGGTCCAACCTATTTGTTTTTTTCTCATTTATTTTAACTTTTTGGACTTTAAAAAATTATATTTTCAAATTCGTAAAATAATTGTCCGATTTGAATTTTTATTTATAATAAAAATCTAAACCGGACAATCATTTTGAGACCAAGAAAGTATTAGTGTACACAAATATATGTAATAAATATGAACAAACTTGTTTGAAAAAAAAAACATAAAAAATTTTCATCATTTACTATCATATAATCAAAAAAGTTCTTTGATCGAAGCAAATGCAATTATTACATTTTTGGTATGGAAATATTTTGATAAACATTTTGCAAAAAAATATTATATTGAGTTAAAGAGAGAAAGATTTTGATGCTTTAATAACTATCAATATGTTATATATCCTTTCTACTTCATTATTTAAATTAAGAAAATAAAATTTGAAGAAAAAAAGAAAAAGAAAAAAGAGAAAAAGAATTTTTACTTTCTGATTTTCTACTTCAAAGTAAATTATTACTTATTGCATATATTAGATACAAAAGATAAATTTATTATGCACATATATATTAGAAATATTTTTATTTTCAATAATTTAATTTTTATTTCTTTTCTTTAAAATTAATTTTTTTATTTAAAAGCACAGAGAAATGAAAAAAAAACACGCTGAAAAAAAAGGGAGGAAAAAGAAAACAAAACAAAAAAAGCCACGTTGGCCGCTGGTCATAGAAAAAAAAAAGAAAATAAAAAATAGGTCAAAAAGGTCAAAAGGCTTAAAACAACCCGTTTCGCTTATAATTCGGAAACGGCCCGTATTTGACCCACGAATTTTTTTAAAAAAAATGTAATTTGAATTGTAATTATTTGCTCCTACAAAAAAAATTAAAAATAAAGAATTGAGCTCCATCTTAAATTATAATTCCAATTCGAAAGATCTATTTTTTTAAGCCAAATACAAGAATTGAAATTGGAGGCTTAGACTTCCAATTCCAATTCTTAGGTCCAATTCAATCCAACCAAAGAGAGCCAGAGTGTTAATGTTGGATTTGTTTCCAATTTGCAGAGGTAAGACTATTCTGCAAAATCACTTAAAAAAAATGGGAGTGATTCCTTTATTGGGTAATGTCTATCTTAAAACATATCATTTGTTTTTATTTTCATCCCATGGATAGAGTAAATACTAAATAGTTAAGAAGCAATCAAATTTAACTTGTAAATAGGTGTGAAATCACTTTGCTATCTTAAAACTTATCATTTGTATCATCAAATGTATAGATTAAATAGTTAAGAAGCAATCAAATTTAACTTATGAAAGCAACCAATCTACATGTGACTTTTACTCAACTCAGCTTGAGCAAAGTGTAATTCTCGCAAGACAGTTCAGCACTTGAATTGAGAAGGGCATTAGATTAGGAACATAGTTCTGCATCTTTTTAGCTTTCCTCTTAACAGTTGTTGCATCAATTATACATAAAGGATGTATGGCTTTTCCTACCTAGTCACAAAATATATTAACCTAACAGAGCAAATCGAAGCTAAACTAGCTCTACGTATGTAAGAGAGGACCAGCGACAAAAAGAAAACTGTATTTCGAGTAAGTACTGCTTCAGATATTGGATATCATCACGCCTCTAAATGTCAATCGCTTCATTGCCTCGACTCATCCTTGAACACTTCACTATTGCAAACAGGACAAGTCTGGCAAAAGAAAGAAGAGTTGTCAATGAGATCAGTAACAAAAGAAGATTTTCAAGGTGGGGGCATCTGCTTGAAAGTAATGCTCATACCTTGTTGATGCTGAGCCATTTGGATCCACAAGTAGCATGGTACACATGTTTGCAAGGCAAATTTATTTGCCGGTCACCTCTTTTGTATCTCATTTGGCAGATCACGCATCTGGTTAAAAACAAGAGAAACCAAATATAAATGAATAATGAATGAATAGCAGCTACTAAACATGAAAGTCTTGGACAGTTAAACCAAGTACCATAATCATAGTAGTGATCTTTATGACTATTTTCTGGATGCATTAGAGGAAGCATGATTCATGATTTCCTTAAATTGTCTTCAAAAGGACTGTTACTTTCCGTTGGATCTTGAGGAAACAAAATCATGGAGTATTAGTGATCAACTACGGAGTACTCAATCTACTTGGCTGAGTATCTCTCTCATGCAAAGCTTTTGCTATGTCCTAACAAATTATTGACTATGCAACTCATTAGCCAAAACAGATCTGAAATCTAAATTATGATAGATGTGCACTAATAATGAATCATATTATGCTTGATTTAAGATGTAAACCAGAAATGAAACTTACATTCCTTTCTAGAACATAATACTGACACATGATAACATCCGAGAACATAGAGTCCTTTCTACAAAAGCAATACTGGTACACAGCGCAAATTTTTATACTTTCACGTGCTAAGAAAAGGGGAAAATCCAAAGAGTAAAGGGAAGAGATATTTGCAGGTAAGAGAATGAAGCTTGTCCGCAACTTTACTCATTATCAACAAGTGTGTGGATCCCAGACAAGTTTAAAAGCAAATTCGGCATTGCGCATGTTAAATTTACAAAACTAAACCAAGTATCCAGATAGCTAATTATACCTCTCTGCAGACTTTTTTCTAGAAAAAATTCCACCAGACTTGAACTTAGAGGTTGGAAGCAAATCAATAAGATCTTGAGAAAGTCCCCTGCTCTCACTTCCAACCGCTTCTCCTAAATCAAGCAATTCCTGCAACATATATTCATAAGCATATTCATCTCCAAGTATTCTAGACATCTGCAAACCTGCCTTACTGAACATACGATAAATAATTAACCTCTGGCAAAAATTTTATGGTATACTAGTCAAAACAACACATTGTCTAACTGTCATCCTTTAAACAACTTTTAAAAAGTATGAGTACTTGTGAAAAATACACAAACAAGATGGATGTCTCACCCTTGGTTTTGTCCAAATTCATTTGGTAAAGTTGGTAGAAACTAATTACAATAGCACAGAAGAACAAACATAAGTCAATTTTGGAACATTCAGCGAAATGACCGGCTTCGTGCTTTACAAAATGAACTGTGGGGTTAACTTCCAATGTAAGTAAGTTCATAAAACAAGCTCCCATCATCAACAGGGATCAAGATATATGGTCGCCCAGAACCTTTGAAGTGCGCTATTCTGCTAATAATGTTATCTGACCAAGAAACTCTACAGAAATTGTACAAGGTACTAGCAAACCAAATAGCATGATAAAGTTCCAACAAAAGTTTTTTAGTTTCTTTTATGGACATCACATTCCCAAGTACCTCCAGCAAACAAAAAGAGCAAGTACGTGTTTTACTTAAACTTGCCAAAGTAACAATGGAAAATGCCAACTATCTTATCCAGCAAATTCTTTCATTCAAGTTTTTTTTTGTGTTGCTACAGGAAGAAAGTCATGTGGAACCTTGTATATCAATCGTGTAAAACCAACAGCCTGAAAAGCTTAAAGTCATACCTCATATGTCATGTTGTCAGGATCTATGTCGTCTTCCCAAACAGCCTGTTATCACAAAGAGAACAAAAGAAAGCTACAAATTAGTATCTTCACAACCAGCAAAGCAACTTCTTCTCCAATCCAAGTAACAAATAGCCAGATGTTATCAAAGAGATCATAGAATAAACCCAATACAAACACACCTGAGAACTAGCACCATCTTGCTGACTGAATGTGCTTTCGGGGCTATGGGCTGCATGAAAATTTGGCCATGAGAAAGGCTCTATACTAAAAACATTTGGATATTTGGACAAAACATAAACACACCAGAAGCATAAAAGAGAAGCAAATAGTACCGAGTAAATAAAAATAAAATAAAGTAACGAATGCTCTGTAACAAAAAAACACAATTGTAATGAAAACAGGACAGGAATTATCCTTAACAGAACATGCTTCATCAGAGTTTAGACGAGAAAATGAAAATGAGATTGGAGCTCACACTCTTCGGGGATGGCCTGCATAGTAGGGACTTCAATCTCTTCGGAAGGCATATCTACAACAGTTGGTTCTTCAATATTCATGACAGAAGGATACTCCCAAACTCTTCTGTTGTAATCCATCCGTGTCATTTCATCATTTATTGTATAAGAACCATAGTACGAGGTATTTTCTGGAGCAGAAATTCCAAATCGGTTAGAATTCATATTCATTGACCAATATGTAGATACCTGCACAATGAACAGCAATGGAACAATCCCATCATCACAAAAGAAAACAAAGCACGGTGACCTCTCTATCTATGGAATTAAAACTCAAATGTTTAGGAAAGGCGTAAACTTGATAAGAAAAAGTCACAATTTCAAACAAGTATATGAACAGAAGAACGCGAGTTAGACAAAGTAACCTTAATGGACAAATTCAGAACATTTATGCTCCACATAAGTGAAAAGAGTAACAAGATCATACTCCATCGGGGCAAAGCAAGCTCTGATATCTATTTGATGAACTATAATTGACAGTTTTAAACAAAGTCATATAACCTTAAAATGATTCCAATCAGATAGAAGCTTCACATAACGATGGCTTTCAGGGGACCCCTGAGAACTAAAACAACTAAAAGGGCGTGCATTGACATCTTGAAGCAGAGAAGTCTAACATAAAATAAACATCAATACTGTACTCAAATAGTAATATATTACTCACTGGAATTACAGAGGCACAGAGTACATTGATTTAACAGAAAAGGAGAATAAGAAACAAGTACATGATCATGAGGCATTGGCGGAGGTTGAGCATAATACAATGGGGCTTGTGGAAGTCCTCCAAAGAAGTCCATATAACCCTCTGAGCCATTGTAAGGAAAGCCAGTATTCATGTAATGCACCTCCATTTCTCGATTTCCCTCCATTTCCCTCCACAATTGAGATCGGATCACTTACAACAGCTGCATAACATAAGATCAAATGGAACAAAAAAAAAAGGGGGAAATTTTCAGGATGGCATTGAAACTATAGAAGTTTGTTAGTAAGCAAGAACCAAAAACAATTAAAGTTTGAAGTTCAACAACACAGCAGGTTCAGCCATTTACCCAGCATTGAAAGAGGACAACCTCCCCTTCCCCATATCCCCAAAAACCAAACAGGACACCCTCCCCACAGGGACCACCCCACCCACAAAAGAGAGGAGAAAAAGGAAAACAAAGCACACTGCTTTTTGACTGCAAAATGATAGACTATCCATTTACGGAAATATCCATTTCAAAAAGAAGCTGCAAAATTACTGCCTTGAAAATGAGAAAGAAAAAGAAACCCAAAATTGACATTGGGTTGATTTAAATTCTTCACAGCAAACCATGAAATCCAAGACAAGGACTTTAACATAATTTTTTTTCCCAAAAAAATAATTTAAAAAAAAAAACCCCACAAGCATTTCTTCATCCAAACATGAGAACTCCTGATTGAAGTAAAACCCAAAATACTCCCTTCACCGAGCTACTTGGTAGAGTTCCGACATTTGCTTCAGAACCCAAAAAAGAAAAAAAAAATCCAAATAGAAAGGGGGGAAAGGGAAAAAGGGGAAAAGGATAACATACTTACTCTTCAAATTCAAAAGGGATTCTCCTTTTTTTACCCCTGCTACCGCTACAAATGAGACAGAGAGATGGAGGGAAGGTACATTGATGATGATGATGATGACGAGTACGGAAAACAGAATGGGACAAAAAGGGAAAGGAGAAATGGAGGAAGTAGTAATTAGTAGAGAAATTAAAAAGGTAAGAATGAGTGTCTCTGTGTGTGTATGAACTGTGGGTGTGGTGGGTTCAATTCCTCCTTTAATTTTTTATTTATTATTATTTTCTTTTGGGGGGGGGGTATTGATTTTGCTATGATGAAACCATGGTCAGAAAGAGCAGGGGAAAGAAAGAAGGGAAGAAGAGAAGGAGAAGGAGAAGAAGAGAAGGAAGGGGGACAGAGTGTGGCAGTGTCGTCTGTTGTGCTAATTACCTGTCTCATCTCATTTTTTTCCTTTCTTCTTTACTTTTTCTTTTTACTGTGGACAAAAAAGACTAGTGCGTGAGTGTGTGAGAGAGAAAGAGAGTGAGAGTGAGAGAGAAGATGGCACAATGGTCTGGGTTGGTTGGTTCAGTGGCTTGTGTCGGACTTGAGACACACGCTATCTTTCCTACATCCCCACACATTTTCTATACTGCTTGGGAATTTAGGAAAAGAGCTTCCCTTTGCTTACGTTTTATTTTCTGATTTTCTCCCCACTCTCGTTTCATCATCTCGTGAGATTTTAACTGAACTCTAATCCCTTATATTAGGGTTGGATTTTTTTTTGTTATAATGTCACACGATGTAGAAACTCCTATGACACATAGAAATAGTTGTATTGGGTATCAAAATTTTGTTTCCTCATTTTTTTCAATCTTTTTTTCTCAACTGTGTATTAATGTGTTATTATTTTGTTTAGTTATAAATTACCACTCAAAATTGTTAAGATTATATGATCGTTTGAGAGATGAGGCAATATTGTAACAAATTTAGGAAATTGTCATATTTTTTGTCCATGTTTTTTTAGTACTATAAATACTCCGAATCATAACATCTGTGTTAAGAACTTCGATTATTAAAAAAATAAAAATAAAATTGTACTAGACGGTTAATTAAGAGGCTTGAAATGCAAATTGAAATCTTGCTTTTGTGATATTAATCTGAAAGTATTTCACTTAACAAATATTAACACATAATCGTTCATTCATATTAAGACAAGAAATTAGCAAATAGTACAGTAGTAGGTTCAACTTTTGTTCACAAAATAATACTCTACCTAATTAAAACATATTCATATTCTAATTAATGCGTTGTCAGTCGTCTGTTTATTCATTTTCCATAGTTTTTTTGATATTAAAAAAATTCTTTATTGATATGATAAAATGAGAAACCAGAGTTAATATACCACGAGATGATGGGATTTGTATTTTATTTTTTAGTGTATAGAAGAAGGTAAGAAATCAAAAGGGAAAAAAAAAAAAAAGGTATAAAAACAAGGAAAAATTGAAGACGCATGGGCATGGCAATAAGCATGTGATATAAAGCCGTTTAAACAGCCGGTAAGAATTGAGAAGGTGAGAGAGATGTTTGTGTGAGGGAGCCGCATTCCCAGAACCCTGTCTGCGTGATCTTTGCCGTACAGCTGTAGTTTCTTTCTAACCCCGGCCACCCCCCAAAAGCCCCAGTAAAGCAGTAAAATTAGTACTACTACTACTCCTACCATATCTCTCCAATGCTGCTTCTACTAGTAGCAGTCAAATTTCATTTTTTCTATTTTTTAAAAAAAATAATTCTTTTTATTTAAAGTTAATTACTATTTTGTTAAAAATGCGTCATTATTTCAGCATTTATTTATTTATCGAAATATTTGCAACTCAACAAAAGAATTAGTCATGGCTATTGGAAAAAAAAAATATCTGGCTATATATAAAATAAATTAAAATAAAATCAATAAATACTAGGGAAGGGGGCCAGTTGGATGGGAAAGGAGGGGAGGGAGGTGTTCTAGGAGGACTAATAACTACAAGCTAGCTATATAGGCTGGCTATAGAGCAGTAGTAGTAGTATATTGGTCCCTACACAATCCACATAACTCTGTTTGGTCTCCTCACAACAATCCTCCTTAGTCAATGGGGATAAGCTTCATTCATTTATTTATGTTATTCTTTGTGCAACCCCCCAAGTCTCCTTGAAGTACAGCATCCCTATTAGATAAAAAGAAATTTTAAATTGATTTTTTCAAGTACTTATGACACTGGAACTAACTTCCTTCCCTTCCTTTCAGAGCTGGTAATCAAGTTATCTACAGTTGATTAGTCATTGCGTTGATATGACTTTTTTTTCTTTTTTTTTTTTTCTTTTGGGTGGGAAATTCTTCTTGTAATCAAAAAGTGAGAAGGGATTTTTCATTTTTGTTTCATCTTTAATGGGATGAATGGTTTAATAAAATCATCCACGCTCCAAGCACTTTTAATTGATTATTTTCAAGATTACCTCACTTTTTTGTTCGGTTTTCATAGTTGAATTATTATAATATCAGAAAAATAAAAATAAAAAGAAGATGTGTGACAAGACATTGTTACCAAAAGTTTTAGTAATAATCTCAATTTCTATATCTTTGTTAAACCCAGCTTCAGGCCGTTTTGTTGCCCATTTCATAGTTAGCCAAAACCTGCTGCTAAATGACCTACACATCCAAAGTGTGTATAATCGTGACTACTACGTGATGTTATAAGCGTAACTCTAGTAATGTTATAACGTAGTACCCTCCATCGCAGTATTGAAAACAAGAGTACAAAATCGACAAGGCTACATAGTTTATTCGAATCCAGATGCTTTTCTAAATTGCATTTTCCAGAAACTGTATAAAGTAGAAGCAATGGGAAGCAATAAGGCAGCTTCCATGTTGAAAAAAAAAACGTATCAAGCCGGAAAAAAAATGTCATAATGAAAGGCAAAACGGGCATTGTGCATTCAAGACAAGCCCCAAATTGAGAATTTAAAACTCCAACAAAACCAGGATCTGCTACAACGGCAGCAGTAGACCTTCCCTTTTAGAGTCGAATCATTTAAATTTGATCGCCTAAATGTACTCATCCTAAACTCCAACGCCTGGCAGGGAAATTTCATTATTTAGGCACCGCCAGATCCGTACTTCTTTCCAAATACAATCATCTGTAGCTTGTCGTATCCAGCAAGAACACCGGCTCCAGCAACAGCTCGTAGGATGTTGGCACCAGCTCCCTTGAAGAGAGACTTTGCCCCCTCATTCTTCAAGATTTGACCAAATGCGTCCATTGAGCTTTTGTACTTCACTGCCTCACCAGATGTCATCATCATTCTTCTTCTGACGGTGTCGATCGGATATGATGCAAGGCCAGCACCATTGGTGATTAGCCAACCCAGGGCGAAGCTAGCAAAGAAACTATCCTGCGATACACAAAAGAAAAAGATAAGATTTCCATTTAGCCACAACGTTGCAAGAGGTTTCCTCTTTTGAACATTTTAGATGTTTTGAAGCAGAATATTGAGAACAATGCATGACATGAATTGCTGTTTTAGTTGAAACCTTGCTTTGATAAAGAGGGTTTACCAAGTAGTAGAAAACAGTTGTGAAACCTTAAAAGGGAATGTGAAAACAATTTCAAACTTAGGATCAAAACTTCATGACAAAAAGGTTTCTCTTCAAACTTCCAAGAAATAAGCAAAAGGCGACAGAAAGTTTCACCTGCAAACCGCCAGTAAGGACCACTGGCTTCAAGGAATCATACATTCCAAAGTAGAGACCACGGTAAACAATGATTCCCACACATGAAATGTTGAAACCACGGTAGAGTCCAGCAATGCCATCAGAAGCCAATGTCTTACGGTAAACATCAACCAAGCCATTGAACTGCCTCCCTCCTCCTCCTTTCTTTGCAGCCTTGGCATCATTTGCAAGCCGAGTTCTGGCATAATCCAGGGAGTAAACGAAAAAAAGGGAAGAAGCACCAGCTGCACCACCTGATGCCAAATTTCCACCAAACCATTTCCAGTAGCCATCCCTGTCTTTCTTAAAGTTAAACAACCTCTTGAAGTAATCCTTAAAGGCAAAATTCAATGCCTGGACAAAATAAGAAAATTTTATCAGTAGAGAACAGGTAAAATATGTCTTCCAACTGAAAATTACCAAAACAGGAAGGCTCCGACCTGCGTAGGGAAGTAACGAATGACATTAGCCGTGTTGCCTCTCCACAAAGAGACCATGCCTTCATCCTGGATCGTTCGTTTAAAGCAGTCACCAATTCCCTTGTATGGTTCAGAGAGACGACCTGCCTTGAGCATTTCATCCTGATTTTGAATTAACAACTTAACTCGCTCAATTGGAGCAGCAGCTGTTTTGGAGACAGCTGCAGAAACCCCTCCCATGAGAAAGTCAATCATAAAATTCGTGAACCCCTTCTCCGAAGGGGCTTGAGCAGAAACGGGATATGCCAGTGATGAAACCATAGTGAGATTCCGTGTTGCTTGCAGTGGATACTGAAATGCAGCATTCGTATAATTTCCATATGTAAACCTTCTTTGATACAAGGAGAGTTGCAAACCATCTTGAGTAGCTTGAGCATTTTGACCCCTGGTGGATGCAAAAAGGAGCTTTGGGGCCACCATTTGGGCGGAATTGGGGTATTTTTGCTGATCAAACATCATGTTCTGCAACAATAAGAACAACACAGATCACAACATGCGAGTGAATGCTTCAAAACGAAAATCAGATACATCCACACTTTAATTCACTAAAGTGGCTACCGTTTGAGAATTTTAAACCTACTGACGAAGGCAACAAGCAATACCATTGCCACAGTGAAATAAACCCTGTTTTTGGATTTGAATGAAAAGTGAATTTGTAACCAAAGAAAAAAAATAAAGACAGGCATATCAATAAGACACCAAAATCAGTAATAAATTAGAACAACGACAAGTTAAAAGTGAGTTTGGTTTGGACCCCTATGGTACCAAATTCTGTAAGTAAGAAAAGAAGAGAGCTTAAAGTTCCATCCAAACAAGCTATCTACTGCTGGATGTACATAAATTGCGTTATAGAAGCCTCAGCTGCCCGTTTAAAACAGGGTAACGTAAGCCAGCAGAGCATGAAAACTAACAAACCTGGTGCAGAGTACTAATGACAAACCAAATCAATGACGATTAATTTTATTCTTGTAACCCATCCAATATCCGGATTTTAAACTAGATTTAAAACATCAAACCTATGAGAACAAACTAGCAAGAAGGTATACGAAACGAAGGAAATGAAAAACAAAATGAAAATGCTTTGAGAAGAATTCTAACTCCTTTACGGGAAAGACTGTCCAGGTATACAAAATATCAGCTATTTTCTTCCGAACGACTCTATTCCAATATAGCATTGCCATCAAAATAAATTTTAAATAAGATATACAATCCATCAATTCATCAGTGAAACGAGAATATTCCAGGCCATCATCCTTCTTCAAAAAATCATACTACTTAACAATACACCCCAAAAGAACAAATCCATCGTCCCAAGTGTCAAATAAGCCCATAACTCATTCCAAAACAATCATCTCTGATCGGAAAATCAAGTTGTCAGATTGATATATGAGATTCATCAGCCATCACGCTAACAACAGTAAAAAAAATCTGGTAATCACTATGCATAGCGGACAGGGACAAAAAGCGGATTTGAAACTCGAATTCGCATCCAAAACCAACAAACAAAAGTATCAGATTTCTAACCAGAAAGAAATAATTCTTCTCATGCATTTATACGAACAGATTACGATCAATAATAACGGAGTATAATTCAAAGCTCGAACCAGAAGGAGCAATCAATTCAACAACAAAAAAATGAAGAGATCTGATAACTGAAACAGTACCAGAAGAGTGAAAACCTTGGTTCTATGATAATGGGTCTTCAAATTATGAAATTTTCGGGGGGATGGAATTATGAATATGATGATGGAGATGGAGTAGGCTTCGGCGCTCCGCCTTGTGTTTTCTTGTTCACGCAGTGAGAGCCAAAAGTGGAAAGGTGGAGAGGGAATCGCGGAATGATTTGTTTTGATTTTGAATATGTGTCACTTTCAACCCTTTCATTTTAGTATAATTCTATTTTTGCCTCAACATTTCCCCCGTATACAACATGTCTTGCTATCGATTTCATTTAGGTTAGGTTGCACGATTACATTCCGGTCATACTTTAATTATTACTCCATCAGTCTATTAAAATAGTCCATCTTGAATTTTCAAATATGTACTAACGAAACAAAATTCAAAACTAGACTATTTTAGAACAGAAGGAATATTATAGTTGATTTCGGAATTGGTTTGAAATACCCATAAATGAAACAATAGGTGGTGACACCCAAAAAATAATTTTAAAATTCTTTTCTTTGTAAATATTACATGCCTAAATATAATGACCCTGGTGGTTTGTTTTGGATCCTCTTCCCACTTGATTTTTTTTTGTAATTGTTACAAACTTACAATAATAATTGGATAATTCAAATTTTACGGAAATAATAAAATTATCCCCTTCTAATATCTCTAGGGACTTTTATCGAGAAGAAGATTATAATACTTACATACAGTCATTGAAAATATTTTTCGACTCATAAGAATATGTTGATTACTACTCCTTCCATTCTAAAATAAGAGTTATCTTACAATTTGTACATAGTTTAAAGAACTCTTAAATAGGGTTATAATATGACTTGAATATTCTCAAATAACCCCATTAAAAAAATATCTACCAATGATATTAATTCATTTAAGGGTATTTTTAGAAACTTTTGACAAAACGTGCATTGAAATGTGAGACACTTGTTTTGAAATTTTTCCATTTTGCTAAATGACACTTATTTTAGAACGGAAGGAGTATCACATTTTAGCTATGCCACAACTCCATGCAATCCTTTGTGCCCACAATGTATAACAACGGAGAAATTAAATGCCCTGGAATAAAATTTTTATTATAACAATGTACTTTGTACTCCTCCTATTCTTAAAAAAAATGTTTATATTGAATTTTGATAGTTACATTATAAACTGGAAATAAATTGTTTTTTTTAAAAAAAATAGAGATAGTATTTTTCCGTTTTAGTTTACTCAACGCAGAAAGTCTTTAGTCCTTCATATATTTGCCTTCATGTTCGACCGACATATATAGTCACGAGTATTAACAACAAAGAAATTTGACCAGCCACTATGATTGGAACGAGGATATAAGCAAAGATAGAGAGGTTCTCCCTATTTACAAGATTAAGCAATACTCTCTCCATTTCAAAATGTAAGTCATTTTAAATTTAGAGAAGTTTTTCAATATATAAATCGTTTTAGCATTTAAGGCAAATTAAAAATTACTTTTTCAACTTTATCCTCAATAAATTATATCAATCTATTTTTATTTAGTCTTCTCTATAGTTTCAATGTAATTAACGAGGGATAAAATAGATATTTAACTGATTATTTTTTTTATGTGTTTTATGTGCAGTGTCTAAAGTGACTTATATTTTGAGATGAAGGGAAACATATATTTCGTCCCCAATTTAGATTTGCGGGACGAAGTAAGTACGATTTTTAGGGGACCGAATATAGTTAGCATTATCATATTTGTAAGGACTGCATTCCTAACTGCATTTGATTGGACATCTAATCGGAATCATTCTTGTCCTTGAAGATTTTAACCCATACAGCTTTGGCAAGTTTTTCCATTTAAATCGAGGACAATGTTCATAATGGTCTCATGGTATAACAACGAGGCCCAAAAAGGAAAAGGAATGTATATTATGATTACTTGCATTTGCCCAAAAGGAATTTCAGAATGAAATTAAGCAAAACAAACGAAATTTCAAAAAATTCAAGATGGCCAGAATTTTGAGAAAGATGCACTATATTTTGCAGAGAAATATGATCAGCTATTTTATAGTTTTTTTGCTAATCATTAATTGATTAAATCAGCAATCTATGTCTGTTTTTAACCTCTAAATTTTTATTCATAATTATAATGTAGAACTCTTTTTAAAAGATCATATATTCCCACAAAAAAATATACTAAAGTAACCACGTACTAAAAAACTAGTCCACATTAAATTTTGAATTTTGTTTGTTTTTAATATATATTTTAAAATTCAGTGTGGACTATTTTTTTTTTACGATAGAGCTAGTAAAAGATATCTCGTGATCTAAAACAACTTTAATCAACAAAACTAAAGGAATTTTTGGATATACCGTAGCCCCATTCGATTTTAATAATCCATATTGTTGAAGTGGAGAGTATAACAAATTGGACTGTCAAAATTGTATTTGAAAGTAAGGACCGACTCGGCTCAAACTAATTTCAAACGATTGTGTGATATTATCGAAATTCAGAGTCCAACCATTAAAACCGCCAAAAGATGTCAACGCCTTTGATTCGTCACAAAATTGAGTTGATAAATGTTCCATGACAAAATAGCTAATAATTCTGTGAGAATAAATAAAACGGCCAAATGAGGCCAGTTTTATTGAAATTAGGAGAAACGTTAAAAGTATTTACAAAGATGTAAATTGAAACATAGAAGAATACATAAAGCTTGAAAGAAAATAAACGATAAAAGTTATAGAAGAACTATGAATATGATTTCTTGTGTGTAGAGTTCTCTCTCTCGGCTGTTCCTCCTCTACTGTTTTTATAAGAGATTCATCAACCCTAGTTGGAATGCAACTGAAATCGAATCCAGTAAGGACTTCTGTTGCGATTGGAATCCTTCTCCGACAAGGATTGTGGCGTCAAAGACTCCCTTTTGAATTCGAATTTCTGCTCGTTGTCGTTTCTCTGACCAATATCTTCGACGGGCTTTGACCGATTTTATGTCTTCTATTACTATTGTTGCTGCGATCGGTCCAATCTCATGTGGACCGGATTTGCTAAAATCGGTCTAACACAGAATAAGACAGATGAATTACTAGTAATATTGTTAAAATTTGTTATCAAATCCATTTGAGTCGGCTGAAATAATTTTTTCCCGAACTTTACCAGGCCTCATTGGGGATTATTATTGGGCCCGAATTATCCAAAACGTCAGGAATGAAAATGGGCTATTGTTAATTTTAATAAATCAAAGGGACTTATGAGTAATTTTGTGGAATTCTGAACCGTTTTGGTTGAGCTTGTTGAGGGGGGAAAGTCAACATAAAGACGAATAGCAATTGACTGAAATGGCTCTCTCTATATGTTTCCTCTCTCTAGAATTCAGTACAAATAAAACCTGCACATTACTTCTCTTCTCTCTGTACTTCATGCTCTTCGCGAATTAGGGATTTTTCAATTAGGGTTTGGAAGAAGAAAACCGCTTCAAAGAATCCACTGTGTTTTGCTGTTGTTTCGAGAAAATGGGGAAAAGAATAACGCGGAAGATGGCCAAGAAGAACCGAAGGAAGAGGATGGAGAAGAAGTACAGAAGGAGAAGAGAAAGGAGATTGCGTCAAGAATCTGAAGTTCAGCCTGACGGCGAACTGAATGTCCCAGGAGAAGAAGGGGTTCATGAACCTGAATTCGATGAAGTTGATGATGAAGTTCAGCCTGAAGATGCACCGAATATCCAAGAAGAATGGGCTAATCCCAATGCTGACGTTGACAATGAATTGATCAATATCCCAGAAGAAGAGGGGGTTGAACCCAATGTTGATGCGTTGAATGTCCCAGAAGGAGGGGTTCAAGAAAATGATTCCAGCGATGATGAACTGAATAGCCCAGAAGAAGGGGTTCAAGAAAATGTTGCCGATAATGATGGATTGAATGTCCTAGAAGAAGGGGTTGAGGATAATGTTGCAGAGGGTAATGAATTGAATAACCCAGAAGAAGAAGGAATTGGGGATAATGTTGATGGAAATGATGATAATGCGGAGCAGGAAATGGAAGGAAAAGAAGATGGGCAGCCGGAAAATCAAGAAAACGCAGTAAATGAAGAAAATCAAGAACCAGTCGGAGCAGTTGAAGGATCATCGCCGGCAAACCCAGAAGCAGAGCAAGAAGCCCATCCAGTCAGAGATGAAGATTCCCGCAATTCCTCTGAAGATGCTTCTCAGGGAAAAGCTGATGAAAGGCCCAAAGAAACAGAGGATTTTGAGCGTCAATTTGATCGGAACCCAGGGAAGAGGCCAATGAGAGAAGAAGAAGAAGAAGGAGTTAATCGTTCTCGTCAACACGGGTGGTCGTCGAAGCCCGATCTTAGTAATGTTCCAGAACGTATTATTGAATCTGACACAAGCATCAACACTGTTGAAAGAAGTGAGAATCCCCCACCGGTTCGAATCTTGAAGAGAAGGGCGCCTAATAGAGATGGTAATTAATCAATCACTGATTTAATTTTGTTCATGGGTGCTCAAGTTCTTGTTCTTCATCCTTTTTCATTGGGGTTTGTTCATTTTATTTATTTAATTTATTTATTTATTTTTTAATGATTTCTAGCTGATGTTTACTACACCGATAGAGAACTCCAGCTTCGAATTCCACTAGCATTTTTTTTGTCAGTGACAGGTATGAATACAAATTTCTTTCAATTGAATTGTTGAGCTTTTTGTTCGTGGACTTAATTTGTTATAGTAACTGATTCACTTTTTTTTTTAATTGCAGAATTACTTTACAACCCAAGTTCTCTACGTGATGATGCAGCTGAATCTTCATCATCATCATCATCTTGTTCTTCGTCTGCTATGAGAGGTACTCTGTTTTTGTTCGTTCCCATAACCAACAATTAGATGGAATGGAGTTTTTGGTTTCTATTGGTTTTTTTTTTCAATCATTGAATGATTTGTGATCTTCACAGGTTCCACCTCCAGGAGGCCCTACGATCCGGATTTTGAATCATTCCACCGGAGACTGAAGAGGCCTTTGATCCTCCCAGAAGAAGTAATGGAAAGGCCTTGGATAGAATGCGGAGTTTGCGGTGTTGTGAAAGCTCCTCAATTCATGGTTCAGCTTTCTTGCGATTGCATCGATTATGCCGTCTGTATGGATTATTGTATCATCATTCTGGCTCTGGCTGAGGCTCGGAGAAACATTCACCTGATTTGCCCAGACTGTGGCAGAAACTTGCTGACTGAGGATATCATCGTTTATGCTATGTGCAAGCTTCTACAGCTGGCTGTCATTGTCAGGTATATGATGATGAGAAGATGAATGAAGAAGGGGCTGCTGCTGCAATGCTTTTTTTGGCTGGATGTTGATCTTAGAAGCTTGCAGAATTTATGATTTGGAAAAACTTGAATTGGGGATTTTTGGTATTAGGAAAACTCTTGTTTCTGATGTTAGATGATGCAGAGTGGTAGCTTTGCTGCTGCTTTTTTTAGTTTCTGAGGTTGCACTTCATTGATTCATCTGATTCATTCATGTGTCATCTGGCACTTTTGATGTAAAGTTCTTAATATTCTGGATGATTGTACTCTGAACTCTTTTGACAGACTCGAAAATCTATACTTTTTTACTGCTACCATTCCATTCCATAATTGGTCGTTTTAGTTCTTGATTCGGATATATACTGATACTTATGTTTTATTGCTTTTTTCACTTTGTCATGGTTAAGGAAAGATAAGAAGGAGAAGCTAGCAGAGGCGAAAATTTGATCACTAACAAGAGTTTTAAGAACGAATTAGTTAAGTTCCACATTTCCTAGCTTGTCAGCAGCAATATATCACCAATCCAATTAAGCTTAATAGGCTGAAATGCCGTTGTAAAGGGTTTCCCCATACAAACCAATTAAGCGTCCAAATAAGCCTAACATCAGCGTGACAGGGAAGAAATTCTATACCTGTTCGATTGTAAAGAGTTTGATGGAAAGTTGTGTTGTATTATTGATTCGGACATGTGATCCTTATACAAGGTGCTCATCACTAACAAACGTAATCATCTAAAGATGGTAATAGTACTAAAAATACAACCATTTACAATTCACGTCTTTAGATTGCGGATTGAAACCAAGCGGATTCAAACCGGTTTCCTTCTTTGGAAAATTCTTGTTTGCATTTTCAACTCCCGAGCAACAATATTCATCGTTAGTCTTTCAATTCTGCAATAAGCGCCTCATAACCTTTTGTGAAGGTGTTCGATGAAATCATTTACAAAGTTCAGATGTGTTACAACAAAAGATTTAGCCTGATGCTGGGAGGATATGTGCCCATTTTATGGATTATCATATTTGCCCATTTCAATTTATAAATCTCTAAACTGTTAATCAACAAATAATTCTGTGGAGTCTTTTCCCACACTCGTACTTTATATTACTGTGTCGGTGCGTATGCAAAGGGAATTATATACATAGACATCTGATCAGATAGAATATTTATTCCCGCCATAGTCATAGGGTACAATGAGAAATAGATTTCATCTGAATTTAAGTTTATAACGAGGACGAAATGGAGTATTTTATTTCTGTTTTTTTAACATAAGAATTTTATGCGATTTCTTTTTTTTTTTTTTGTTGAAAAAGTTATACTTTCATGTCTCGAAATGGTTGTCCAATTTGATTTTTTTTTTATATAATTTGTAATAATGTGACAAATAATAATTTAGGTACAGAGAGAATATATCTTACTTCCATATATCTATAGTATTATACTAAGAGAGAAACAAGAGAGAGAAAACAAAAAAAATTCCTAAGGTGCCACATAGGATAAAATCTTATGTGTCATTTTTCTATTGGTTGAGTCAAAAAATATTTACAACAATTATACTAATAGTCCTTCAAATTTTATGTAAATAAAGTTTTATCAAATGGCATTTAAAACTATAGTTTAAAATAGGAAAATAAAAATTAATTAAATTTAATGGACGAGATTAATGAACATTAATGCACCAGAATTATTCCCTCCCAAAAATAATTCCCAATTAGTATTAATTGATTGATTTAAATTATAAGTTCAAAGGGATAAGACATTTATTATTTTTAACATTAATTCACCGGAAGTCATTTCTCCACCAATCTTATCCCTTAATCAACGTGACGTTATCATCTTTATTCCATAGTTATGAATTTTACTTTAACATGTACAATGACAACCGGTGAAACACTGAAGCGAAGCATCTTATATACTTTACAAAACATCTTTGCGGCGACGACTTCACTCCGATCATGTTTTATTCAACATGTAAGGTGTCTCTTTCTCTAAAATTGAGTACAATCTTGATTAACAAGCGTTGTTAACCTTGTAGACATAAATTACTTTGATTTATATGACATGTAACATCTGATTTATTATTTTGGTGGTCTTTTTTACTTTTATTTGTATATAATCCTTATACATATTCCATTATTTAATTACATTTTTGACATACAATTTATAAAATGTTGTCATTTCAAAGTATATATAACAATTTTATTTATCACGATCTAATTTAATTTTAATCATATATTTATTATTACAAATCAGTTACTTTATTTGTATTATCATATTTAAAATTTTAAAATATATTTTAATAAATGTATATGTATAAACCCCGCACATCGTGTGAGTTTAACATCTAGTTCATATTATTCCTGTCAACAAAGATTCTGTTGAAAACAATTACGAAAATAAAATTACTCTGCGTACCACCATTTAATAAATTTTTTGTCAAATCCCATGCGTCCTTAATCACTTCAAAAAAGTGCACACACCTAATGACCATTCACTGATAAAAATTCCCTATAGCCCGAAAAAAAAAGGATAAATTGTGGTTTAATAATTAATGTTTTGGTAAATTTCTAGATTAACAAATGTGATGGAGAAAAAAAAAGTGTAATAACCAAAATAATTTTACGTATACCTTAATAACCAGGCCGTATTGGGATCAAATTACGAAAACCGACTTGGTGACCAAGTTGAAATGTCAGCACTGATACTGGGCTGTTTCTAATTTTTATAAAGCCAAGGGGCATGTATGAGATTTATTAGAACTCTTAACCGGTGATGGGAAAGTCCATGGAAAACCAAATAGCGGTTGACTGAAATGGGTTTATATATTTTCTCTCTCTCGAATCAGTACTAACCTGAACACATTTCTCTCCTCTGTAATTCATCTTCTTCGCGAATTAGGGATTTTTCAATTAGGGTTTGGAAGAAGAAAACAGCTCCAAAGAATCCACTGTGTTTTGCTGTTGTTTAGAGAAAATGGGGAAAAGAATAACGCGGAAGATGGCCAAGAAGAACGGAAAGAAGAGGAAGGAGAAGAAGTACAGAAGAAGAAGAGCAAGGAGATTGCGACAAGAAGCTGAACGCAACTTTCCTCGTGATGAAATTCCCGCTGATCACAACGTTGATGGTGAATTAAATGTCCCAGGAGAAGGGGTTCAAGAAAATGTAGACGGTGATGATGAATTGAATGCCCCAGAAGAAGTGGTTGATGACAATGTTGCTGATGGTAATGGATTGAGTGTCCCAGAAGAAGGGATTAATGACAATGTTGAAGGTGATGATGATAATTCGGAGCAGGAAATGGAAGGAGAAGAAGATGGGCAGGAGGAAAATCAAGAAAACGAAGTAATTGAACCGCCGGAAGAAAATCAAGAACAACCAGTCGGAGCAGTCGAAGGATCATCTCCGGCAAACCCGGCAGCAGAGAAAGAAGCCCATCCAGTTGGTTCTCAGGACAATGCTGGTGATTGGCCCAAAGAAACAGGGGATCGTGTTGCTCGTGAACAGTACGCTGACGAAGAATTGAATTCGCGAGAACCGAATAATCCAGAAGGAGTTGATGACAATTTTGACGGTGATGATGGTAATGCCGGGAAAGAAATGGGAGCAGAAGTTGAGGAACAGCCGGAAGAGAATCTAGAAGCTTCCGGAGGAGAAGTTGAAGAATCAGAGTCGATAATCTTAGCACAAGAATCTCATCATGTCAATGTTGATGTCTCAGAATCACCAGAAGAAACAGGGGATCTTCATCATGGTGATCAAGAAGCAGAGGAGATCCGAGAAAGCAAAGGGAAAGAAGTTGATCGGTCTGATCCAGAGAATATTCATGAATCTGACGCCAATAGGATCCCAACTGGAAGTCAGATTCTCCCCCCAGATCGAATGTTGAAGAGAAGGGCACCTCATAGTGATGGTAATTAATCAACAAAAACAAACTGTTCTTTTAAGCACTCTGTTTCTTAATTAATCCAAATTTTCCAGAAATTCTTCAGCAAGTTTGCCCGGATTAATGTTTTCCATGGTGTTTTTTTTTTTCTTTTTGATTTTTAGATGATGTTTACTATACCGAAAGACAATTCAGGCATCTATCTCAAAGGGCAAATCGTTTATCACTGCTGGGTATGAATTACCAAACTTTTCAATGAAATGTTGGACATCTGTTTACGGGTTGTGTTATCGTATTAAAGATTCACTTTTGATTACCACAGAATTAATCAACCGGTGCCGAAATTCCGCAAATCATGAAGCAGCTCAATCATCATCATCTTCTTCTGCTTCCAGAGGTACTCTGTTTTTGTGTTTGTTACAAAACAATTCAATTCAATAGTACATAATTTTGGTTCCTGAATCTTTTGAATTATCTTTGATCTTAACAGGTACTATCACCGATATGTCCCAAAGGGCTCTTGAATTATTCCACCAAAAAATGGCGGAGGCTTTGATGACACAAAAGGGAAAACCGGAAAAGTCTTGGGTTGAATGCGGGATTTGCTGTGTTGTGAAACCTCCTCAATTCATGGTTCGAGTTTCTTGCGGATGCGGATTTTATGCTGTCTGTATGGATTACTGTGTCATCAGATTGAGGTTGGCAGAGTATCGGCAAGACATTCGTCTGGTTTGCAAAGACTGTTGGAGAAACTTGTTGAGTGAGAAACTCATCCATTACGTTCTATGCAAGCTGCTTCAGATGGCTTTGATTTTCAGGATTAGGTAAGCGAATTTGCTTGGAAAAACTTCAATGGCTTTTGGAGCTTTGTGTTTGGTATACGTAGATTCTTTCTTCTGATATTACAGTTTAGAAAACAAGCTCAAATTTCTGGTGTTAGATTGTACAAAGTTACAACAATGGTAGTTTTGCTGCTTCTTTTCGGTTCTGTGTTCAGGTGATTTGATTCATCTGATTCATTCATGTGTCATCTGGCACTTTTGATGTAATTCTTACATTCTGGATGATTATACTCTGCACACTTTGACAGATTTCGAAATATACTTTTGTTGCTGCTATTTCATTCCATAATTAGTTTTTTAGTTCTTGATTCCAAGATATACTTATACTGCTCTTTTACTGCTTTTTCTACTTGTCATGGACCTCATGGTTGATCACTTACAGAGTTATAAGAATGAATGAGATAAATTCCACATTTTGTTGTTAGCAGCAATATAATATAGTATCACTAATCTAAAACTTCAAAGCAAATTTCCAAGCAAATTCATGATAGTATGTAAGATTTCCTTCAACATTCTCTTTTTAGAATTCGGGAATCCAAACCAGGATCATATAACATGAATCCTCCTCGAAAAAGTTTTCAACCAAGACATGTTAATAGGAAAAGATGTGTTTGCATTTTCAACCAAGATGTGTTTGCTTTGGTCACATTTTAAAAGATGCAATTACAATTAGTAATTTTCAAGTGTAACGGCTTAGGTACTTTATAAGTGCAATATAAATAAAATATTTATATACGGATTCCCTTTCCTAGAAAAAATTATTATATCTTACTTACGACACGTGTTGAAAGTTTATTAAGAAAAAAATATTTACATACCTATCACCTTTTAATAGATTTTTCTCGTCGACGCCTATAAAAAGCGTTCCCATGCGCTTAAAGAAAAAACCGCAATTCTTATTATTCACACACTTTTCTTATCATCGTCTTAGAATTGCACCACTGACGAGATTGTTTGTCTTTGTAAGTTCTAAGCATATATTTGTTATGTCACTTATAGTTGTTTCATTCTAACTATATTTCAATCAATTAAGATTTTTTTTTTTCTTTTGTGTGTTTGAACATTGTTTCTTGCTTATGCAATTGTTTTATACCTTCATAACATGTGTTGATTGATTTATTTTTTTTTTGTGCCAATTAATAATCGTAAAATTTCTCTAAGGTTAACTATGTAAATTTCATCAAGTATGTGGATTACAAGTTATTTTAATTTTTATGAATTCATACTATTGATTATTATTTGAGACTGACTCATTTGACAAAACTCATATCTGATTATTAGTTGTTACTATACGTTAATTTTTCATCATGAGATTATTTTGGCTTAAAACAAACAAGCAAAATCAGATAAATTTAATCACTATCAATCAATCGAACAGGTTTTTTCAAAAATATTTTGTTATTAAGAAGTTGTGTGTCAAGAAGTATAACAAGCAAAATATTATAACTGTGAACAATAAGACAACCCAGCTTAATTGTCAAAATAATTGAAGAATTAACCTATCATGGAAATTAAATTTCTATTTAGATTTTTTAAGAAAAAAATTACTAATTTAGATTAGAGATATATATATTTTAAGAATGATGTCATTATGGATGAATGCATTCGGGTTCTTCTGGAACCTTTTTTTTGGTTGCTATTTTTTCCCCATAATTTATAAATCTAGATATATTAATAAATTTGAAAGTATGAGCATATTCATTATGTTTATCATATGGAGTAATTTAAGAAAAAAATATTAGTGGTACTAATAACACGGCAACAACCAATTCATACAATTTATTCCGAAGATCTTTCAATAAAAGTAGAAAAGTTGTATTTTTGCTCTTTGTTGTGTAATAATTAATTTATGGTTCACAATTAAATATTTTATTTCTTTTTGTGGTAATTCGCTAGCTCTTTTCTTCTGGCTGATTAAATTTCCCACTATTTCATACATTGTGGTTTAGATTATGACCAGTTTATTAATATCCTCTAATGAGTTACTTGCTTAACATGAACACAATACTTATTTTCTAAATTCTAATTTTCCAATGCATATCTGTTATGAGAAAAAGTAATAAAAAAAAACAAGGAGAAAAATTTTCTAAGCTCTAGATTACCAAATTATGGTAAACCTTAGCTCTAAATTATTTTTACTTTGATTATTGTTTGGGAGTATGAGATTGGATGGCTTATTCATTGAGATTCTTGGTGGTATATATAGGTTATCAAGGGTATCAAAAAACGTTAATTAGTCCCAGTTGAAAAAAATCCTTCAAATTTTTTGTTTTAAAAAATTTTGATTTTGTCACTGGATGTATATATAATGAAAATATGTATTTCTAAAAGATAGTCATTAATTATTTTAGTAAGTGAGTCACGCCATTAATTTATACTCATTACTGGGTGTAAATTAATGACATGATTCTCTTACTAAAATAATTAACTGTGTACTATTTTTCTAGAAATAATATCTTTCATTGTAATAATATCTTTAATGTAATTGATGCCCTTGATGGCTATATATACCTTCAAAATGTAACATGAAAATGGACATCCGATTCATATTCTCAAGCATTAGCCATCGTAAAAACATGTCAACTCCAGAGAAAATTCAAGAAAAAATCGCAATGGAAATTTACTTTGCTAAAAAGTTGAGAAAGGAGATCCAAAGAGTAAAAGAACTTCAAAGGAAGAATGACGAGAAGGAAGCCCTCATTCTTATCGGAGAAATGGAAGCTGGGATAATCAAAGCACAAGATTTGGACCTCCGGCAAACGGAGTTGACTCGTGCTTTTGTGAAGAATATGCTGAAATCTCTTGAAGATCATAAGAAACAAGAAGAAAATAAAGAGGGAGTTCAATCAAATGCAGTTCCTGCACAAGGAAATGAAGATGGAAATTAATGAATTTCGTAGTTGTTGGATGTTTCGAATTCTTTATTTTGTTATCTTTTAACTTGAAGTCCTTTATGTATTTTCTTTTTTATTTTGATGTATTTGTGTCCTTGTTAATTAGTTTATTTGTTGTCTGGAAATAAAGAAACATCTATTGAGTTCATCATATGAGTCTAACTTTATTTACTCGTATATCTTCAAATATACCGTTGCTTTTTATTTTTTTTTAAATTTCTTTTTTTTTTAATGGTTAAATGCTTATCGATTTCTGAAAATAAATACTTAATAGCATTTAGATTTATCTAGGGAAAAATCTGTTCACATTTAACCTAGGAATCATAATTTAGAACCAAAAAAAAAAAAAAATTGTTTGGTTTTAGCTGATATCGTTAATCGAAAAATGTCTCATCTAATGCATCGTAGATGAAAGATTGTAGTTATAGATAGATGTGATAGGTATCGTCGTTAAAAAAAAAAGGTATCGTCGTTTTTGTGAGATACTCCAGGTTTGTTAGTTACTTATTAGTTTTTGGAAAAGTACATAGAAAATATATGATGCGAAAATAATTGTTTGCCAAATTATTGACAAACTCAGATTAAGTCCTTCTGTCTATTAATCATTGTTTTTGAAATTTCGAGCATGGTATTACGAAATATAAGAAGGCGCGTAAAAAATCATAATAAAATCTTGATTATGATCTTCTAGCCAACAATTAATAAATTTTACCAACCCCTGTAAAAATAAAATTAATACTAAATTTTACCACCCAATCGTCACTTACCATGTAATATCCTGGTCTTTGTGGGATACTCAAGGTAAGTTACTTATTAGTTTTTGGAAAGTACATAGAAAAGAAATGAAGCAAAATGATTGTTTTCAAAATTATTGTCAAGCTCAGATTTAGTCCTCCTCTAAGCCCATTGTTCTTGAAACTTCGAGTGTGGCATATAACAAATCATAAAATCCTGATATGAGCTTCTAGCCAATAAATAATAGATTTTACCAATCCCTAAAAAAATAAAATAAAATAATTAGGGCGAATTATATTTTACCCCCGAGTTTTGACCTGATTTATCATAAAGCCAAAAACTTTGATGACATTATCATATACCCTCTAAGCAGAGGTTAAACATTAAAATGACAAAAATAAACATAGTTTACATACACTTGATTTATTTTTTCTTTCTTTCTATTTGTTTTTCTTCGTTTATGGATCATTGAAAAAACAAATTGCTTAATTTGTCATTTTCAAATTAATTGTAACAAGTTAATAACTGAATGTTAATCCATGATTAGTAATATAAACTTATCATGATTCAAAAAAATAATTAACAAAAATTATTGTCTTAAACAAAATACTCAAGTAGATCCCACTTAATTATGGATTTTTGCCCCCTCCACCCTTACAAGCCCATTGGTGAGAGTTGAACCCGGGTTTAGCACCAGCAACCACAATATCCTAACAACTAGACTTCTATTCAAAAGACATGATATACTTAATTTTAAAATTTTATTGTTTAAATGAATTAATATAAAAGAATAAAGAAAAAATATTTTTGATTTAATTTATATATTTTTAAAAAATATTTAAATTTTAGAATCTAAAAAATATGGAACAAAGGGTATTTTTGACCATTTATACAAAATTGATGATAATATTTGTAAGTTAATTAAGGGACATTTGGAAGGTTAATTATGAGTAAGGGGGTATATGGTAGAATTGCCATAACTTGGGGGCAGGGGGGTGGGGGGAGGAGGAGGGGAGGGGTTATGGTAGATTTCCCAAAAACTCAGGGGATAAAATGTAATTCGCCCAAAAACTTAATACTAGATTTTATCGGCTAAGGATCATCTGTGACATTAATTAATGCCACTCTCTATGACAATGAGGCAAAAGTTGCCATTTGTCCCAACTAATCCTCATTTTAGTTTTAATAAATTACTCTTCTAACGCTGTTAAAGACTGTTAGTTGGGGCAAAAATAAAATAATTAAAAAATTAAAAAGCTATCCTACTTTCCTATCAGAATACGAAAAAAGCTAGTACTCTCTCCTCATTATGTTCTTTGAGTTCTCAAATTATCCTTCGGGAAAGGAGCCATAATTT